CCCCACGAAGACGCCCCTCGTGCTCCCAGCAGCCGCCCGGGACTCCTGGTACCGGGGGTGGCTGCTCCGCCAGCCCGGCCCCGCATGCACGCCGCGTCCCCCAACCCCCTCGTGCTCCCTCTCCTGCAGGCAGCCGGCGTGGGACGTGACCTTTGGAATGGAGGCCGCGAGCCGCCGGGCGCTCGGCGTGTGCGAGAGGCTGTCGGCGAGCAACGGCAGGGCAGGCTGAGCGCCGCGGGCAGCCCCTCGCCCCAGGCCCTCGGGGCGCTGGCCTTGCCCGGACCCTCCGCCATGTTCCTGCTGCTCCCCTTTGACAGCCTGGTGGCTAACCTGCTCGGCATCTCCCTTACCGTCCTCTTCACGCTGCTCCTCGTCTTCATCATCGTGCCCGCCATTTTCGGGGTCTCCTTTGGCATCCGCAGGCTGTACATGAAAACACTTTTGAAGATCTTCCAGGTGAGTCCGGCAGGGCAGGGGGTGCAGGCCAGCAAGGGGAGAGCGGCTGGGAGATCTCGCTCACCGAGCACGTGGCACGCAGCGGAGCCGAGCTTGCAGGGCGCCAAAACGCGTGCTGCGTCCAGCAGGCAGAGCACGGCCGAGTCTGGAGCCGTGCGAGAGAGGGGCCCGGACCCGGAGGGGTTAATGCCCCGTGTCTGGCAGAGCCCAGGAGAGCCGTGACGCTCCAGGGACCAGCCCAACGGGGAGCAGGGCACCGGGGAGGAGCAAGGGCTGGCATCGGCTTGGGCACAGGGGAGCGGAAGCAGCTGATTTCCAGCGCAGGTTTGGGTGACAACGCAGGGGCGTCATGGCCAGGGCTCTCTGCCCTGCAGGCTCCTGTGTCCTCAGCTCTCTGCATCATAGGCTCTTGAAAAACAAGGGTTGCAAGGGACCTCAGGAGGTCACCTAGCCCTGTGCGTGCAGCATGCCTGCCTGGGGGTCGCCGGGCGCCCTCTGGACCCGCAGCTGCCGCGGAGCCCCAGCTACCCTGTCTGCGCCTCTTGGCACAGAGAGGCCAAGTGGAATTTTCCAGCCGGGGCCGCGCTGTTCTCTGCCTGCCCTTGGCCGGGGGGGATTGCCGGGGCTGCCTGACAGCCAGGGCTGGCTGTGAAGACGAGTCCCAGGCCAGGGACTGCTGTGTCCCCGCGTTACCCGGGAGTGGAAAGGGAATAGGAACATGCCAGTCACAAGCATCTAGAGAGCTCTTCTGGCGTTCTCCCAAGCCTGCCCGTGTGGGAACAACTGCTGACGGGGTCGGGTCAGGTCAGCAGTGGTGCCAATTGCTGATTTTGCCCAGCTGTGCTGTGACACAAGGTAGGATAGTGGGATACCTGCCCCCCAAGGGGTAGTGCCTCCCCTAGGCCCAGGCAGGGGCTCGGGCGACTGGCTGAGTCGTGTGTGTGGGATCCTCTTTGGGCACAATTGCCAGGTCTATTCTGAGGGCGGGTGCAGGACCTGTTGGTCACGCAATGAGAGCAGGCCGAGCGGCTGAACTCTATTGAGTGTCCTTGAGCGGTGGAGGGGAGACGTTCCTGGGAATAGGAGGCAATCTGGGCACCGCAGCCGGAGCTGCTGGCAGACAGCTTCCCATTGCTGCTGCCTGCGAGCACACGGGGCAAGGGGAGCAGCTGCTGGCTCTGTTGGAGGAGGGTCCTGGCACACACCCGGCTGCTTCGTCAGCGACCTTGAAACACAGCATGGAAAAAATGAGAACTGGAAATTTGGGCTGGGCAGTCACCTGCTCTGCCAGGCACTGAATGAGCCCGTCTCTGCATCCCCTGCCTGTGCCCAGGAAGAGGGATGCGGGGAGGCAGAGCTGCAGGCCCCAGGTACTGCTCACCCCGCCTCTCTCTTGCAGTGGGCAACACTACGGATAGAGCGCGGCGCCAAGGAGAAGAACCACCCCGTGTACAAGCCCTACGCCAATGGTGAGGGCTTGCAGTGCACATCCCCATGTTCTGGGGTCTGTACACAGGCGTGGTACTCCCCTCTCAGGGTGGGGGTCTGGAAGGGGAGCAGGGGAGAGGAGGGCAGCAGGGGCACTCTGGGGCCAGGCCCGTTACCGAGGCGTATGCCGCGTTGCAGGCATCATTGCAAAGGAGCCCATGTCCCTGGAGGAAGAGATCAAGGAGATCCGCCGCAGCGGGAGCAGCAAGGCCTTGGATGCACCCGAGTTCGAGCTCTCCGACATCTTCTACTTCTGCCGCAAGGGTATCGAGACCATCATGGACGACGAGGTGACCAAAAGGTTCTCGGCCGAGGAGCTGGAGTCCTGGAACCTGCTCAGCCGAACCAACTACAACTTCCAATACATCAGCTTGCGCCTCACCGTGCTGTGGGGACTGGGTGTGCTCATCCGCTACTGTTTCCTGCTGCCGCTCAGGTGAGCCGTGGCCCAGAGCCTGCCTGCCCAGCACTGCCCTGGCTCACCAGGACCAGTGCAGCCCCAGCCCCAGCCCCAGCCGGGGCCTGGGGGATTCTGTGCTCTGCCTTTGGCTCTGGCAGAGGGAGCTGCAGAGTTAGTGCGGTGGGGGCCAGGGGATTTCCAGCAGCCTCTTGGCAGCTCTAAGGAGCAGCGTTCCCAGAAAAGTGCCCCAGTCTCTGGGGCACTGCCGCACGCAGGAGGGCCAGGCACCAGGGCCACGCTAACCTCCTCTCTCTCTCTGCAGGATAGCCCTGGCCTTTACTGGCGTCAGCCTGCTGGTGATCGGCACCTCAGTGGTGGGACTGCTGCCCAACGGATGGTGAGCTGATTGAGTGCAGCTCACTAGGGTGCTGGCTGTCTGCAAGCAAGGGCTGTGGTCCCTGGCGTCTCTGGCCCCGGCCACAGGAGCTTTCATGAACAGAGCGCGAGTGGTCCAGCAGATGTGTCTGTCAGGCGAGGGGGAGCTCTCAGCCCCTCTTCCTTGGGGTTGGGGGCCATCAGTGCCACTGGCCACAGCTCAGTCCATGCGCCACATCCACGTTGTGCTCCTGAGTGCCCATGTCCTCCCTCCAGGTGCAAGGAGTTCCTGAGCAAGCACGTTCACCTGATGTGCTACCGGATCTGCGTGCGTGCCCTCACCGCCATCATCACCTACCATGACCAGTAAGGAGCCTGCGCCAGCCGCAGCCCCGGGTCCCACCATGCTGCCACCTCCGGCGGGCTCGCTCCTCTTTGCTCTTCCCCATCTGTGCTCTTGTGCTCCCCATAGGGAGAACAGGCCACGGAACGGAGGCATCTGCGTGGCCAACCACACCTCCCCGATCGATGTAATCATCCTGGCCAGTGATGGCTACTATGCTATGGTAAGGGTGGCTCCAACTCCGGCTTCCTTCCATCACACAGGGGCCTTTTCCACAGTGCCAGGCCTTGGCGATTCAGCTGCTTCATGCTCCCCAGCTGCAGACACCTGTGCTGCCTTGGCCCTGGACTTCCCCAGGGAGCCAACCTTGGGGACTATTTGATGTCCTCATAGTCACGTGGCATGGACCGCCAGTCTCTGTGGGCCGCTGCGGATGGTGGCCGGCGGTGAACGTGGACCCCACACCCCCATTGGGGGTGCAGGGATGGATCCGATGTTAAAAACACCTCGAAAGGGGTGGGTCCCGCTGGTCGCTGCTGTTGCTGTTGCATTCGCTGCTGGGGCGAGGGACTATCAGCGCCAGAAGTCATCAGTTAAAACAGTCTGGGTCAGGATAACGCGTTGGCCAAGCTTGGGGCTCGCAGGCCACGTGCTGGGGCTGTGCCGTGCATCCCAGCTGCAGTTGTGAGCGGGGCAGGAAGGGGGGTGGCCTGGTGCTGCGGCCGTAGAGCCGGGTAGCCAGTGCATGACCTGCGTCCTCTTCCCGGGCGGGCACAGGTGGGCCAGATCCACGGAGGGCTCATGGGTGTGATCCAGCGGGCCGTGGTGAAGGCCTGTCCCCACGTCTGGTTTGAACGCTCGGAGGTCAAGGATCGCCACCTGGTGGCTAAAAGGTAGGGCTGCGGGCAGGCGTGGGGCGGGAGGCTCTAGCGTGGAGGCCCCGGGCAGGAGGTGACTGGTGCCCACTCTTCCTGGCAGGCTGACGGAGCACGTCCAAGACAAGAGCAAGCTGCCCATCCTCATCTTTCCAGAAGGTGAGCACCGAGGCCTGGGCAGCGTGATCCGAGCGGGGTGGGCCGGATCCCCATCCCACAGCGCGGGGCAGTCAGGTGGCACAGTGCTTCCTACCTGCCCCCTGTCCGGTCCTGCCATGCCCAGCTGGCTCAGCACGCATCTGTGAGAAAAGCTAAGAGCCGGCACTTGTCTTCACAGGGACCTGCATCAACAACACGTCTGTAATGATGTTCAAGAAAGGAAGCTTTGAAATAGGAGCCACCGTGTACCCTGTCGCCATCAAGGTGAGAGCACCGCCCTCTGCCTGGAGAGGAGTGCCCCGAGCATGCTGGCTTGGGGCCTCCCACCCGCCTGGGTGCTGCAGGAGGCAGGGGACCCAGCAGCTGTGGCCCGTTCTGGATCCCCTGTGCTCTCGGCTCTGTCCTGCACGGTAGGAGCAGGTCGTGCATGCCTGGGGGTGCTCGCACCTGTGCCCGGACGGTGGGGGAGCCTGGGGTGCAGCCCTGCTGGGGACAGGGGCGTGGAGTCACAGGCTCTGTGCCCCCCGTAGTATGACCCGCAGTTTGGAGATGCCTTCTGGAACAGCAGCAAGTACGGGATGGTGACCTACTTGCTGAGGATGATGACCAGCTGGGCCATCGTCTGCAGCGTCTGGTACCTTCCCCCCATGACCCGGCAGGTGAGTGCCCAGCCCCGCTGCGCGCGTGTGCGCGTGAGCCGCCCACCCCGCAGGCCCCCGGCACTCAGCCGCTTTGCCCTCCCGCAGCCCAACGAGGACGCCGTCCAGTTTGCCAACCGGGTGAAGTCGGCCATTGCCAGGCAAGGAGGCCTGGTGGATCTGCTCTGGTGAGTCGGAACCAGAGCCCAAGCCTCCTCCGGCGGAGGGGCCCCGGGCTGCTACGGCCGCCCCCGCGGGGCACCGCAGCTGCCTGACGGTATCTCTCCCCCCCAGGGACGGGGGCCTCAAAAGGGAGAAGGTGAAGGACGCCTTCAGGGAGGAGCAGCAGAAGCTGTACAGCAAGATGATTGCGGGCAGCCACGAGGACCGGAGCCGCTCCTGAGCCCCGCGGGCCGGGCCGGGCCCTGCCGTCGGACTCTGGGCGCTGCGGTGCCTG